AGTTCAGTGCATGGTTCAGTTGAATCGATTCAAGGCTAGTTAAGTAGGTTGACGGGTCGATTTATGCGGATCTCGAGTCCGGTAACAAGCACGCACTGATCTTTCTACGCTCAAAATAACGTCGTTTTAGGCTTTAGACTTTTATATATAACTAAAATATTTTTTTTGGTTCATTATTCTTTTGTTCTAGAAAAAAAAAAGGTCAGAGCTTCGGGGAGAGCTCTAGATCTCCCGCCGTCCGATCGTCGGACCACCTCACAGACGGTCACCTGGGTCACCGTCGACGGTGGTCGCCAGTGATCAAAAATTTCAAAACTGACCGAAAGGTTCCTTTTAACCTCCTAAGTTCAGATCTGTCATCCTTTTCACGAGAAGTAGCCCTAATCATCGTAGATCTGGGCTTGAAGTTTTTTGTGTTCTTTTTTTTTTCTTTTTTTTTTGTTTTTCTATTTGAAAACTAACTGATGCCTTTTTTTGTACAGGTGGCTCGGCCCTGGGTTCCTCCCTATAGGAAGGACTGCATTTTTATTTTTATTTTTGTCTTTTGTTTGTTTTTTTTTTTTTGTTATTATTTTGGTTGTTGAATAGTTTGAGGTTTCTGAAGTTGGCAGGGAGCAGTGTTTGGGTTTTTTGGATGTGAAAGTTTTCGTGTTTTTGAAAATTTTTGGGGGTGTCAAAGAAAGAGTAGAAAATGATGAAGTTGGGTTCTTTATAGAGTCTGATCTGTGTCGATATAGGTGTCTTAAGGGCTGTAGGGGTCGGCTGTAGAAACGGCTGTAGAGGTGGCTGTCTGGTCTGGTCACACGGGTCAATGGTCTGATGAGACTAGGTAAGGTGGCTGGATCAGATGGAGTCAGGCAGAGGGCTGGACATGGGCGGCAACGGTGTCATACCAACCCTTTATGTTCTGTCTTTTCTTTTCTTTAATGATTATTATAATGTTTTTAATTTTTAATTTTTAATTAAACCAATATTATTATTAATATTATTATTAAAATTATTACTATTAATATTAAACTAGAACTGAATATAGTATATCTGAATAAAATCGGTGTCTATAATATTATGTAAAATATTATATTTATGTCATGTTATACATAAAAATCATATGTCAATTTATGTCAATATAAAAATATAAAAAATTAATTTTTTTATTTTATTAAATTTATTTATAATTTTAAATTATATTATTTTCATATTTTTGATTCATATCATTTTTATATAATATTATCATATTTAATTTCAAATTAGTAAGTGCATCCATTTGTGCAAATTGTAATCGATCAAACACAGACAAGACAATTTGCTTGCTTTAAATTGTGATGGTGGAAGTTTGATAAGGCAAAGGGTGCCTTTAAGTTGACCTGAAATATTGTAGCCAAAAAGAAATGTTTACTACTGTTTGAAGGGGACACCATTTCCTGGGATTGTCCCACAATCTAAAGTGGGAACAAAAAAAAAAAAAAAAAAAAGAAGGAAATTTTCAAGTGCTAGTTTACGTGTGGCCCTCATAAGCCTTTCCCCAGCTCCCCATTAATGGCTGCCTATTGATCATAATGGCCTGCCATATTTTTCATTGCCAAAAAACCAAACCCATCATTTCCTTCTACTACCAAAAAAAAAAAGCAGTGGCTTTCATTAAATCTCAAACAGAAATCTTAAAAAAAAAAAAAAAAAAAAAACCTCAAAATCCATAGCCATGAAGATGAAGATGTTGTATTGTTTGGTAACTTGGGGCCACTTGAATTGTTTTTTTTTTTTTTTTTTCTGCTTCATACCAAATTTCTTACAACTACTGATTAAAGGGCCCTACTTACATGAATAAATTTCGGATATTTGAATTGTTTTTAATTCAAACTTTAAAACCTAATAATCATTGTGGACATGCATATATCAATTTATTGGTAAGAAATTACAATTACACAATCTTCTATGTTTACATAGACTTCTAACATTATATCAGCTAGACGAAATCACTTAACAAATTATTTAAGTTAATCAACATAAAATAAATTAAATTGTGCACAACTAAATTTGAACATGACACATAAATATTTTTCAAGATTTATTCGTCGAGATAAAATTTATCAGCTTGTTTAATATAATTTTTAAATTAATGAAAAAATAACGATTTAGAAAATTAATTACACTTGTATTATTCAGTGAAAACGATAACAAATTAACTTATTGAATTGGTTTTTTGAGATACATTTACAACTAGCTTTTTCAAGTCATTTTTTTTTAATTTTTAATTTATTTTTAAAAATTTTTATTTTATTATTTATTTAATTAAAAAAATTACGTATATAAATTTTTTTAAATTCATAACTTTTAAATACTAACGTAAAATACAAATCGGTTTTGATTTATATATCTATATGTTTTATTTGAGACCAGTAAAAAATATTCTTCGCGTGCCATCATTTTGTTTTGGAACAAAACACTAATCATCAACACTAGAAAGATGGATATGAGTGGACGGACTGAAGACATTAGTCTCCATCTTTAATAAATTCGATCTTATTGCATGAATTTTCATTTTCACCTGATTTGATGATGCAATACTGCAATAACAACAGCATACTCCATCTTATCTTTTAGGTCTGCCAAATTGAAATTCGAAAATTTTGTAGAGCTGGAAAACAAATGGATACAACAATTTTCAAACACGTATCGATGTGCCTGGCTGCCTGCCCTATTTTCGTTAAAATATTTTGATATCTCATATGATTTTCGAGCATATGCAAGATTTGGACATAGACACAGTGCTGAATATGAAATAGAATGGTTTGTTAAGTAATAATAATAATAATAATAATAAATAATACAAGAGGGTTAGTTTAATTAATTAGGCTTTATGATATGATTTTTTTTAACCAATAATTTCCTTACATCGAATTCCATTTTGGATATATACATATATGAATTTTAATAATAAATTTTAAGGTTTATATATATAAATAATCTTGATTAGGTCACTAGGAATTATTAATTTAAAGAATTATTTTGGGATAGAAAATTAAAAAATTTCAAGACATGATTTGATCAAAACCAGCCTCTTATGTCCTTAGACTAAAATTTGACTATCCATTTTGAAAATCTTAAATTCAAATATCCAAACAAAGGAAAAGAGAAAATTATTTAAATTTTCAAATATTTTAAGTAAAAATTTTAAATAAAAATATCAAAATTTGAAATTAAAAAAATAAATTTCAAATCTTAAAGTTTAAAAAAAAAAAAAAAACATAAACAAGTAGTATCAAACTATTGGCTTGTTTCTGTGTGTTTATGTGGCTTTTATAAATATTTATTAATTTAATTTATTTATCGTGGTTCGTTTTGGTGTGTCTCGTTTACATTATTTGTTTTTTGTTTTGTGGCTGCCCTTCCACTTTGTCCCTTTCTATTTTCTATATTACAATCCTATGCTGCAATTAATTCGGTGTTATTTTCAATGTTTGCTTTTCCATTTTGGAAAAAGACATGCCACTAATTTATTTTCATCATTAAAATTTTAATCTTAAATTTATGAAATATTATTTTTAAAAATAATTACAATTAAATTTTGAATTGATATTTTTTGTCCTTCTTTCTACAGTACTCTTACCACTAAAAATTTTTCATATGTTTCAATACAATAATCAATTTAACTTAATTAAATAACAAGTGATTGAGACATATGCTCTTATTAAGAATAATTACACTTCAAAATAAGTAAATTTGAGATCACCATCATAATACATTAACAATGACTATTCACTTGCATAAATCTACTAATTTATTGTTAATTTAACATTTAAACGATGATGATGAATGTATTAAAAATTAATTTTGAAAAAAAAAAAGCTTAAACTTCACCGAAAAATGGTTTAGTTTGTATTTTAGCTTATATTTATAATATGTCAATTAAATACGCATGAAAAATTAATGATAATATAAATAAACCTACTCTTGAAACTCGATTAAAGGTGTAAAGCTTTAATTAATCCAACACTT